GACTCTGGAGTGTTTAACTCTCTGCTCACAGTGTCAGTCCAGAATGAGAGAAACCACACCACCACTGTTTTCTTGTTTCAGTGTGAGGATGTCAGGGTGAGGACACACACATTAAAATGGCTTTTATCATGACTGCTGAGTGAAACAAATGAGTGAGTAAATAGTATAAATTAAAAAAATTGTTGTTGTTGTTTACAGGCTAACTTTGTTGAAAGGAGTCTCTCACGTGCATTGTCAGGCAGGAAAGATGATTCAAGCATTAGGTAAGAACCTGAAGTCAGTGTAAACAAATGCCTGAAACTTTATTATTTGTTTATTATTACCTTTAATTAAAATGCCTCTCACACTTTTAGAAGCAGCAACGCAGGACTTATAGCTGAACATGAGGGAATGAAAAACCTTCATAACGCTGAAAACTCTGTTGAACCTAAAGAGGAGACATTTGCAGTTGACCCAATGCCCCAATGGTTGGCTCCTGACTATGGTAAGCCTGTGACAGGTGATAAACAACTACTGCACTGATTACTAAAGATGGAGTCAATACAAACCTTCAGTCTCCTTTGTACATGCAGAGGAGGATGACGTCCCTGAGCCTGAACAGTTTGTACCTCAGGAGGAGGAGGAAGTGCCATTACCCCAGACTTTCCCTACCGAAGAAGAACCACCATCTCAACGCCCATACACAGAGCTGGACAGGAATGTAGTGAGTGTGCTTTTGTACTCAGACATGGGAGATGAGAAAGCTGTATTTGATACACGATACCCTCTGACATTTTTTGGGTTTTGTATGTTTTAAACAGGATACATGTTCAATACCCACAGAAGAATGTGGAAAAAAAATTCTTTTTCTTTGTTTACAGGATATCTTGAATCATATTTTAGGTGACATAGAAATCTTCATGGGACAAGTAGCTGCAGTAGTAGCTAAAAATGCAAAGAAAAAGAAGAAAAAGAAAAAAGGAAAAGGTAAGTTAATGTAGAAAATGAAGGCAGACAAATACGTAGACTGTATCTAAATGATAACTTACACAAAATGACTTTTTATAATATAAATATCATCAGTTGTGATGCTTTCATCATGTTTTTATTTTGATTTTTTAGCCATGGATGGCATGCCCTCCGCAGCAGAATTTGCAGCGTGTTTCCACAAGATCAAAAGTGGTTTCAATCTTCTGGTATGTGTCCTTAATTTCATTTACATATTTCATCATGGTCTCTTGTATTCCTGTATCTCTGTAGTGTACATTATGTTTAACAGCATTGTATTATGTGTGAAAATGTTTTCTTCTCGACAGGGGGAGCTCAACGGAAAGATCAACAATCCCAGTGCTCCTCAATTTGTTCACTCCTTATTCTCCACATTAGCATTTGTAAGTAACTAAATCTCTTCAATTTAATGTATGGAACCTATAATGACTTAAAAAGTTTACACTTAAAATCCTATTCTATCACATACTGTATTAACGTTCTTCGTATAGTATAAAGTGTGTTTTGTTATATATAATTAAGTCAACCTTTAACATTGTTAGTGCATCTACAGTATGTTTGTAAAATCAGCTCTTCATGATGATCATTTTATCAAATTTATTTGCTCATTTGGTTGACCATCATGTCTCTGTTGTCTCATCATCCAGTGTGAACCCTCATTTAATCAGACTAACTAATGCACTTATTTTTTTTATAAACAGAGTGAGTTATGCTCTTCCTCACCAGGTGGTATCTCACTCTCCTGAGAATCTGGCACAGACCATTGTGGCGCCGCTGCTGATACCCCAGTGTATTCGTCTGATGAGTGAAGAGGCCTCCGCAGAGGAGGACCAGCTGTGGCAGTCTCTGGGAGACGCCTGGAACATCCCCAGGTGGGACACTGGACTGTGTTGGACCTACTGAGTCCAAAATCTAAGCATCATCTCACTACACCTCTGCTGTGGTTGAAAGAAACTAAGTACATTTATTCAACTACTGTACCTAAGTAAACCTAAGTTTCATTTTATGCTGGTTCATATTTTCACTCCACTACATTTCAGAAATATACTTTTTACTGCACTGCATTTATCTGACAGGTATAGAAACTAGTATATTTTTAAATGAAGATTTTACATTAAAAACACACAAAAAGAAATACTAGGGAATATATTGTTAAAGATTAAACCAGTCTTTTTGGATTGTAATACCTTACCAAAAATCTGTGTTTGGTTTGGACACTAAACTACATTTAAGATAAGTCAGTTCCACCAAGGAGACATTTCTCCTCTAAACTTCTTACATGGTTGTATTTGAACACAAAGAGGTAAAATATATCCATTATTTCATTTAAAAAAAAGCAAAGATTCATCATCTCAAAACTTGCAGGATTTGTCTTGTGTCCCCTTGGAAGGGAACCACTGGACTAAACTACCTATTTGGATATAGCTCAAACTGGCTCCATCTCAACCAGCTACAGCAGGAAAATGCTGCATGTAGAATGAGTCTTTTTATTTTTGAAACTATTTGTTTATGCTCATAAAACTTATGTACATTTCACTATTTATGATTTGAAGTATTAAGTATTTTCACTGTACTGCACTGGTGCTTTTATTTGACTAAAGGATCTGACCCACTGGACCAGTGGTAAAATATATCAGACTGCTGTGTGTCCGCTGAGTAACAGGATAATAATCAGTTGTGATTTTGGCAATATTACCAGCACTAAATGGCCAGAAGATGATGAGGACATCCCAACATACACTCTGGAGTTCTTTGATGGCTGGCAGCCCCCTGAGGTGTCTGCAGCACCTGAACCCAGAGAACCTGTGATCAGACAGGAGGCTCCACAACCTGGACCCAGCCAGGTAAACCCTCACATCAAACTTTCAGCATGACGCTAGCACAGGTAGTTTGGAGAGAGAGAGAAAGAAGAAAAAACATATAACAAGACTAGGTACTCTTTATGTCTAGACTGCAGCCAAGTGGAAACCATCACAACCAGCACAACCAGCACAACCAGCACAACCATCACGACAACCGCAACCACCACAACCATCACGACAACCGCAACCACCACAAAAAGCAAGGTAAGCACACACACAACGTACAATTCAATGTAACATGACTGTTTTAAACCTGAAATGTTTTTGATGCACTTTGATGTTTTTTTCAGCTCTAGATTGTCAAAACCAATACACATGCATGTTGTGTATGACTTCGTTTCAAGAAACCACAGAGAGCTCACCGTCAGAAAGGGAGATATAGTTGAGGTGAGTATCAGTGTCATGAACCAACTACTTTTTTCTGTTCTGTATTGTTTCAAGTATTTTGTCTTCAAACCCTGGCTCGTCTTTGCTTTGTCCATCCACAGCTGCTGGACAAGTCGAAGCAGTGGTGGAAAGTGAGGGACAGCAGAGGGGAGGAGGGCTTCGTTCCCAATAATGTCCTGCAGACTAATAAAGAGCAACCCATCGAGGTGGGTGCCACTAACACAGAAGTCTACTTGATGGTATCACTGGTGTAATAAATTAATTAATTATAGTCTTGTATTTTATATAATATTCTTATTTTGTGATTCTTATTGTACATTTTGCACTACATTCCCCTATGCTGTGCTCTAATTTGAATTTCTCCTACAGGGATCAATAAAGGAACATCTTATCTTATCTCATCTTAATGTGTAAAAAATGTTTACGTCAGATCACATTGCATTATGATTCCATTTTCTCAGCATATCGAAGGTCCTCCTGTCCTAACAAAGAGGTCCAAGGCTGCAGAAGTGAAAGCCTGGCTCGAAGAAAAGGGCTTTAGTAAAATGTAAGTACATAGTTATTACATTAAAATATGCAATGGAGGCTAGATTTAGCCTTTGTACCAAAAGTATATTCTATTATACCTGAATGTGAACATCTAATATAGTGTTACTTCTATGACTAAATTGACTAATTAAAATAATCTGTTTGCTGCTGGTGTTTAATAAAAGACTATTGGGTTGCATTATGGGAAATGTAGGATCCAGTGTTATTGGAGGACATACTGGCCTTTGCTGTGTTGAGTTGATACAATTTTTACTACACTTGTGAATGCCCAAACTTTGTGGAGGTGCAATAGTAAATCGATGAATACCTCTTTAATACTTAAGCAGAATTTTGACCAGTTTTATTTTATTTTTTCTAAATGAACATGTTATAAATGAACAGTGTTAACTTAAAAACCTTCTCTCAACTGACACATTCGTTTGGTTAAACAACACTGTTTTCCTGCCAGAATGAACCCCAGCATTGATTAACGACAGATCAATATTACTATATATATATATCTCTTGCAGCACTGTGCGCTGTCTGGGCGTGCTGAGCGGCTCTATGCTGCTGGGGATGACCAGAGAGGAACTGAAGACATTGTGTCCTGAGGAAGGGGGGCGAGTCTTCTTCCAGTTACAAGCGATCAAGTCCAACATGGCAGTAAGTGACAGACCACAGTGCGACATTGTTTGTCTCCACTGTCCGTCTGCAGATGTATTATTATTGATTACTGATGAAGGTGTAAGCAGACACACCCCTGACTGTTTTCTGTTTCAACTCTGTAGGCTGCCAGTTAAATGCAGTAAAAGAACACTGGAAGAGGAAAAGGAAGAAATCATCAAAACAAGTCACCAATGGTCAAATACTGTAAACGTCCAGATACCGTAATATTAAGCAGTGAGTGAGATTAGGTTTACAGATTGTTTGGCCAGTCACATTTTGTCACATTCACATGTATAAGCATTGTATTAAATAATACACATACATATATATTACTTTGTTGTAAGGTATGTTTCAAGTCAGCATATAATCAAATCAGTTGACAAGATATATGATAAAGTCTAAATTAAAGTGCATTCAAACAATTTATCCAGCAAAACGATGCTAATGTGTGCGCACTAAGACATTTAACAAGGTGGAATGGTCTCAATTATGTAACAATGAGCAAAAAGCTGAATATATGTGGTCATTATGTAACCTGTAAATAAAAATGTATGTCTGACACACAAAGGCTTAGTGAATAAACATGCTTTATTTCATTGTTTAGACATTACACATGAACCTTATCAGAAGCATTTGAATCTGTTTAACACTGGCAATCCATTTCAGGCAATAATATGGCTACAGATCAATGGACATAAAATTAGGCAAAATTAAAAATATAAATCAAAAAGGTGACAAGACTGTAAAAACAAAGATACTTCATGAGAAAAATATAAGCGGAGCACAAAAATATATTGAGTGTGAGCATCAGAATACTTGTAATAAATGCACTGTAAAGTTAGTAAACAAATGAATCAATCTTAACGTCTTAAAAACAGAAACTGTGAACGATGAATCGGTGAATAGCGTATAGTATATATTTGAATCACTGTGTTACTGCTCGTACTGATCAGTAACTTTAAATGGTTTCAGCTGTTTTAGTGCTAGTGAATCACTTCTCGTGTGCCAGTATTTACTGAGATTAATCAATAAGTTGATTGGACAAAAAATAATCAGAAATTGTGATGATCGCTTTATCTTTTGAAATCATTTTTATAAGTAAAAATAACCTGAATTTACTGGTTCAAGCTTCTCAAATGTGAAGACTGGACAAACAATTTCAATACCCTAGGCACTACGGGGAATTATAATAGCATTTTGATCATTTCTGATATTTTACAGCCCAAACAATTAATTGATTAATCAAGAGAATAGTTGGTAGATTAATAATAAATGGAAATTAGTTGGGCCCGGCTGTTGCAGCAACATGACAGAGATAAGTATTTTTGAGGTAGGGTTCACTATGTTGTGAGTGCACAGACAAGTGACTCTGTGGTGACTGTAAAAGACAACATGAAACCATGAAGTGTACATCATCACAGTAAACAACAAGATGTAAATGTGAACGGATGAAAAAGGTTCAGGTCAGTCCGGAATAACTTTCTCTCAGTGATAACGTACCACAGCATTGTACGTTGTCATATAACACTTCTAATGTGACAAAGTAGTCATTAAGATGGTTAAACATTAAAACAAGAAAAGGCCAATAACAAAAGGAAGCTGCAATAATTAGACATAACTACTTTGTGCTTCTGTCTGTGGACATCCGACAGATAAGGACAAGTGTAGATTAATGCTTGAAATAATTATTTGAAACCAAAACAGAAAACAAACAGCCAACTCTATTGATGTGATGTAAAAATTAGGATTAGTCTTTATCTTTGTGTGTGTGTGTGTGTGTGTGTGTGTGTGTGTGTGTGTGTGTGTGTGTGTATATAGGTCGGTTTCTGACTGTAGACACTGTTAAGTAAGAGGTAACTATCATGTACCTACCTATAATAATAAACTGAGCGTGATCAGAAACTTAAAAAATGGTGGCTAAACAGTCAGAACAGACACTAAAATGTCCAATTCACAAATTAAAAAGGCTAACAACAAAACTGTATTGAAAAACATAATGCCAATTCACAATGATCAACAGCAACGAAACTAAGTGTTAAACCTTGACATCAATATATTGTGAATATAAAATTTCTTATCTCTATATCGCCTTTAAAAAAATACACTTTATACATGAAACCCAACAAACGCACAAATTTCACCATGTTCAGCGCACAACTCCAGTGCATCCCTTGAACAATTAGAAGCTACTGTATTCTTTCTGAACAAAGACGAGTTCTCTTCTTTTATCCTAATCCTCTATAAAGCAAACACGTATATATGCGAATACATTACGGTTGGTTATTCAAACAAAGGCTGACAGTTTCTGATTCGCTCTCTTGGCATCAAATGTTACTCGACATCGGCGTCTAGGTTTAAGAAGAATGCTCACAGTTTGATGGGAAGTTGGACCGTTTCCGATGGCAGGATGTGATAACGTGGTGAGTGTACAATACAAAATGTGATCCCAGCTTCGATCAGATTTGGGACGAGTTGAAAAACCATAAATGCTACAAGAACCATGCAACAGTCTTAACCATGTCCCAGCATGGTTTGCTCGTTTCTACATGGTGAACGATGCTGAGATTAAATCTGTTGGCTCGCTGCAACAGATCTCTGATTCGAAAGCTGGTCGGCAGCCCTGAATTAGTTAAGATGCTTCACATTTAAGCAACTCATTCTCTCCTGCCATCCGTTATTCATGCAAGCATGCGAAAAAAAACAAGTAGAGAACCAGAAACAAATCAACTTTTATCCTCAAACGAAGGCCAAGGTAAAAGCTATTTACACCGAGCATGCAGCTAGGTGGTTCAGTTCCATTGGCGTAGATATTACAACAGCATAGAGGTCTACTGTATATGACAGGAAAAGTGATGCAATACTTGTTGCAGGTGTTTAAGACAGAAACTGGGCATGCAGCGCCCAAAGCTGAAAACGAAAAGGCACTGTGAATTCTTTGCTCGGTGCATACGTACAGAGCACTGCATGCAAAGGGGAAAAACTCTCACAACTTTCTAGTTTGTCCGTAGATGGAAGGAATGAGTGAAACATGAATCAGAGCCCTAAGGAGTGACAGAAGGTCCGTATCTTTATGGCCACAGTGGGGTAACGGCGAGAGCACTCTCCTCGGACGATGCTGGATTCATCGACATTTACTTGTGCTGTGGTTTAAATCTACAATGCACATTTCCGCTTTATATGGAAATATATCATCAAACCAACATTTACTGCAGCTCATTTGATTTGCAGCTATAGAGGACAGTTTCCTTCATGGAATGTTTGCAGTCTGCTTCTCTCCTGTCTCCTGACTCGGAGCTGATTGAAATCATGGAAGAACAATTCTGTGTGTGCAATTTGGCAGATAAATTATCTGAAACCACGCCGAGCACCATGCATGGCTGATGTTCAGTGGTGCAGCATTCAGTGAGAAGTCTTGTTATACGAGTTACTGTCTCCAAGCCACCCTGAAGTAGCTTAAAATGTAAGACTGCATCTGAAAATCATTCATTATAAATTTGTATAATGAAGAGGATCGATGCATTCAGTTCAGTTTAAGCAGCATGTGTAGTGTAAGATAAGCAACATTTAGAGCAGGTTTTCTGTGAAGAAAGTTTGAAATGTGCTGGTTGTTTCTTTAGTACACAGATACTACAGAGATACCACATGCATGTAATGTCTGAAGTAAAACATATCGCTGAATGACAATAAATCACAGGGATCATCTAATGGCTTTGGCAAGACAGCACGGAGAGTCTGTGTCACTCTGCTGAGGGTTTCCCTGCTTTTCATTCACAAAAATCCTAGGAGCTGGTCACCTCTGCTAACCTTCATTATGCTGAGTGAGAACTAAAATGTCACAGAGAACAATATAAGCAGATCTGGGGGGAAATGTAACAACAAAATGGGGTTAAAATCCTTTCCTGATGCCTAGAAATGACTCAAACGCAAGAAAAACCTTGAAGCTAAAGTGCTCTGGCACAACTGTATCCTTGGCTTTTCCTTAGTGATGGTTGGTGTGTGTTTATGTTCTATATAGGATGAACGACAGAATTACTCTCACACTACGTCTCCTCATTGTCATGCTAGGTGGACCACAGGGGTGTGGGGTTTACAGGCCAGGTCCAAGTGACTGTGCTTTCAGCGTCTTCCGGGGAGAGGGCCCATGGACAGAGAGTCCTCCTCGTCAATAGTGTCCAGCTCTTCGTTGCGCACAGCATGGGTGATGAGTTGGAGCTCCTCAGAGAGTGTCTCGCTGCGGTACGCTACACGGATGTCGGGGACGTTGGTGCGGCGGATGTCGTTGCTCAAGGGACCCTCCTTAGCATAACTGGGGCCCAGCCAGTAGCTTTTGGCCTGGAATTAGGAGAAGCTACATGAGTGGGAAGCTCTGATACAATAGTCCTTTTAGATTCAAAGTGTCATCTACTAATAAGGAGTCTGAGGGACACAACAGAGAATAATGTAGACTGTGTCTCATCAGTGAGATAAACTACACTGAAGCTAATGCAATCTAATACAGCTGTTCTGATAAACAGACTACATTTATTATGTCTATGACACTCAAACTCTATACCAATAACTGTCATGGAGATGTTATGTAAATAAAATGCTCTAGTAGAGCAGCAGCCTCTGTGGCTGGTAAATGAACCCAACGTGGAAATAATACTCCTCAAACAGACACTTTGGCTACAGAAGTGATCAATCTCCATAAGGCCCCATAAAAAATGCTTTATATCAGAAATAGACATGTTTACAGCCTGGTACAAAAAATAGTTTTGGTCTCTATGAGCCTGTTTACATCTGGTATTAAAATGCATCTTGGGCGATATGAAGACAGGTTAGTGTGTCGCTGAACAAAAAAAACAAAAAAAACGATAGTAATGAAGGGCACAGACCGACAAATTTTGAGTAGGGTACAGCCCTATAGAGCAGGGAAGTGAGATCCTATCGCAAGTGGTCATTCAAGATGCATGTGGAGACGCACTGTAGTGCCAGGTGTAAACTGACATACTTATTCCCTGTACATGACAACTGTACAGGGGATGAATTTTTATTTAACTCACCTGTTTAAATCATATTAAAGCTTAAAGTTATGCATAACTAAGGGAATGGCCAATTGGAGTGACAGGTGGGTGCTGTCACAGGTTGCTGTGTTGAGTAGTCAAGCTTCATTCAGCCCACCTCAGCTCCACCCACGATTCACCTCTTTGCCCATTTTGGATTAGCTGGGAGTCAGTCAAGACTATTGATGGCTACAACCTGAGCCGACCATTTTCAATTACACAGGCTATGGTTTTAGCACTGGGGTCATAGTTAGTGATTGTTTTGTACTGTTCTGCATTATATTCAGAGGTTTTTCTTATGTATGTAAACAGGGAGGACAAAGAATTAGAAACAACACTCAATATAATGTAGTCCAGTACAACACCACCTTTAACTACGACCTCAAATAGTTTATGGCAGAGCTGTTGTACTGAATTGAATCATATATTTCTATAGTTTCCCTAATAAGTGGCTACTGAGTGCATGTCACCAGATTAAATACAAAAAATATGAAGAGCTAGTTTAAACTAGTTTACCTTGTGTGAAAACCCACTCATGAGGACACTGTTCCTTGCCAGCTCACACATGTCACAGGAACTTAGTTTCCACACCTGAGTAGCAATGCTGTACTCCTCCATCAGAGGCTCCTGGGCCAAGACGAACACACAAATCACACACAACACACACACACAAAGAAAAATGTCATTTCAGCCTCCTCATTTCTGATAATCTTTTTGCAGTTTGTTCCTTAAATGTGTAGATTCACACAAACTTCCTTCGTACTGACCTTAGTGAAGTGGAACTGAAGAGGATCATCAGTGGACAGAGAGACAATGAGGCCTCTGGACAGGTACTCTGGCAGTGGGTTGCGATGGTAACTGAGGAACAGGCTGTTGTTACTCAGGGGTGACATGGCGATGCCAATTTGAGCCAGGTAGTAAAGATACTGCAGCACCGGGGCCTGATGGATATCAAACAGAGAGAGAGAGAGAGAGAGAGAGAGAGAGAGAGAGAGAGAGAGAGAGAGAGAGAGAGAGAGAGAGAACTTGAGAGATAAAGCAGTGGCAGGTCGAGACCACCTGTCACACACACACTACATGGTGTTCTCTCTCTTTTATCCCACAGTGGAAATGGCAGTATAACCAGAACTGTGTAAGGAGAATGTAATTTGGGACTTACATTTATTCATTTATATTGTTGGATGTTTTTAACAGTTTTTAAAGAATATATAGAATATTGTTTTGCATTTTGGTAATTAGTGTTGGTTGGTAAGGATTGGAGCTCTGTAATTTCCATGTTTTTATGAATGAATAAATTCAATCTTGAAACTGTTTGTAATTTCATCAATGAAGGCCAAGAGGGAGGCCACATATTAATAAACACTCACCAATGAACACCATTAATACACCATAGGGTCTTTTTTTTATTTCAACATGCCAAAACCAAACACTTCTATAGCAGTCTTCTGGAAACAATCTAGTAAGCCCTGCCCTGACCTTTCTGAGGAGCAGGCCGTGGGAGATGTTCTCTGATAACATGAAACCTGACACCAGGTGGTGGATCGGCCCCGCCTCCCCACAGTGAGGTCGCAGCACAAACGTACGGAAGCCTCGCCGCCTGAGAAGGGACACATTTATTTACAAAAACAGCATTAAAACCTCATGTTTTTGTGTATTTTGTGGATGATTATGTGTTTAAATGAATGAACGTGAGGTTTAATAAAAGGATCAAAGTGTGTCCAACTGGCCCATACCGTCGCAGGTGGTTGAGCACAGTCATGTTGGCATAGGTGTAGTAGAGGTAGTAGGAGTAGGGTGGGTTGTCCTCCTCAGTCCAGTTGGCAGGCAATGGACTATCAAGATTGAAAATGTGGTTCTCAGGTTTAGACTCATCGTCCACGCTGTCGAAGCCCACCACCTAGTAACACACAGGCAACAAACAAACAAACAAAACAACAACAAAGCAACAATCATTCAGTCTATTTTCGTGTGAATCTTCAGGATCGCTTGGATTTGTTGTGAACTGATACTCACATGCTCCAGGAAGAGGTGCAGCTCAGGATGACTCCGGGGGTTGATCGTGACTTCAAACAGAGGGATGAAGATATTCTCCAACATCTCTTGAAAATTGGCCAGCTGCTTCTTTGTGTGGTAGACGTCGCTGGAGAGGTGGTGATTAAACAGTGACATTTGTTGATACCATAGAGGTGATAATTATTTGTGTTTGTACAAATGATTTATTCAAAATGTAGGTTTCATTGCAGAGGATAGAAGCGATTATCCATATCTACACTAGTTAGTTAGTTATAGTTGCTCTCTTTCTTTTTTTCTTGAGTAAACTGTAACCAGGAAGGAAACATTTCTTGTGTTATGATATTATCACCAATCACAGTTATAACTAATCTACAACTTGACAAAGCTTCAAGGTAGGGGTACTTACAATAAACGTGGCACCTGGACAAGCCAGCGCACATTATCAGAGTACACTCGGTGTTTAACGGCCCACTGAGCCAGCTTATCCCATTCGTCTCGGGACCGACCATATACGGACAGACGTAGCTCAGAGTTCTGGTACTTACTCTCCTCCAAGTCATACATCACCTCCTGGACAAATAGTGAGAGTAGAAACCAATGTAAGTTTGTGTATGTATTGAAGGATTGTGTGGATTACATATGAATGATTTCACACCTTAATAATGTGTGCAAAGTATTTTCCTTCAATGTGGTTGTCAGTCTTGATGAAGATCTCTCTGAGGATGGATTCTCCAATGGGGTTGTATTTGGCATTGAACTTGTCAAACCGATGGAAGGTGTTACGATCCTGATGAGAAAACAAAAACAGTCAAACCTAATTTGTATCTACACCAAATGTATTACACAGTATTAGCACTAAATCTCTCAAAATAAAAGTGAAATTTTAGAAAGATACTGTTCACTGCGGCTCCTATTTCTCACCGCATGCATGTCGAGAGTGTCTACGCTCAGGTCAAAGGCCGTCAGGTTCATGCTCTCAAACACCTGCTTGAGGGTCTGACCACGGCCGTGCTCAATGTGAACAATCTCCTCAGGGTATTTCTTCATGGCTCTCTTGATGAATCGCAGCAGGTGCTTCTGATTCATGCAGGATGACGCATGTATGTGTGTGTCCACCTGGAGTTACAATGGAGCAGAATATGTGAGAGTTAAGTTCAGCGCTGGGTCTATACCGGTACCACTTGCTGTCATCATTTCAAAATGTCTTTTTTATATTTGCATCACATGTCACATGTTGGCTCTTGCCTTTCGTATGTTGTAGAAGTCTCTGTGTGGAACTTTCTTCTGAGCTGCCAACTCCTTCATCTCATTCAGGAGGATGTGCATCTGGAACTTAGAGCTCAGATACTGTAGGCGGCGGTAGCAGAAAGACTTCCTGTAAACACCATCCAGAGGACACAGATATTTCATTTAAAATAAACCCTAAGCTACAAAACATTGACATCTGTAGTATGATGGTATCAAAGACACACTCACACTGGCCCGTTGATAATGAGGGCCATCATAACATTCATGTCCGCAATATACTCCTTCAGGTCAGGATAGGGCAGGTCTAGTTCTGTACTTCTAAAAAAGAGAACAGTATATAGGTTATACAAACAGACTCACCTTTTTCTTTTTTTAAATTAAGATGTCACCCTACAGGTACAAACACATACTTGTCAATGTTGGTCTTCTTGGTGTAGACATGGACTACTCCATCCACCATCTTGCAACCATATCCTGTGTCTGCCGGCATATTCTTGGGGTCCTGATTGTCATAGGGGTGTGTCTTTGAAACAGGTGGATGGACGGGGGCATCTGGGAAAACATTGATATTAAGTTATATCATCCATGCTACAAAAAATGACACTATCTTAAAATGAACAATGATATGGTAATTATTCATTTAAAAGAGTTAAAAGTGTAGGGTTTTTTTAATTCACAGTGATCCGTGGGACTACTTTGTTTTGATCGGATCTAGATTTGAGTTTGGCAAGCTTAATAAAATAAATAGAAATTAACTGTTTCTCTTATACTTTGTTGTCAAGTGTTTTTCTCATTAGTTGGCATTTCCTTGCTGTCTCAATATCAATATATATTGTGTGACGGCCTCACGCCCTATCTTGTTCTTCCTTGTTGGCTTTGTTTTTTCCACTTTGTTCCAAGAAGTTGAGGGGTAGAGCTGAGACTTACCACTTACTCACACAGACACTGCATACATACTGACGTGCAGACAGACACGCCCTATTGTACTGTTTACTTGATTTTTTAAAAAAAATGATTCACTGACTCTTTGGGGTCTCCCTCTTTTGTCTCATTTTTGAGCCAGGTTGTGATAATAGCTATTTATGTATTGCCCGATAGGCTCATTATAAAGACTGTCAAGCTTTCTCAAGCTTGAACACACCCATTAGTTATGTTCCTGGAAAACCCCTTTGGAAAATACTTCTGTGATGTTACATTGGCCCTAATTACATCATGAGATAAGCTCACAGGGAGCTGAAACTCTATGAGTATGTAGTAAGTAACTATTGCTAGTATAAAGAAGGAAACCTTGGAGAGTAGAAAGACCAGAGTCCAATGGAAAGAAACAAGCTTCCCCTTCAGAACAAGGACTGATACACAATAAATGCTTGTAGCCTCTCTGTTGACAGGTATTCCCTGAATGAAACAAGATTCCACAGAAGGAGGTAGTCTAACTAAAGCATACTGCTCGATCACTGCTGCCTCCTTACACAGAGATTCAACAAAAACCTTTGACTCAGTACAAGATTGGACAATGTGTTGCCTTCATGTGTGCTTCCTGTGTTTAGAGTGTGCATGTCATACCAGCATCTACAGGCGTCTCTGGTATATCTTCATAGACTCTCAGATCCAGAGGTTTCATCCCGAGCTCCTGCAGGGCCTGAGCTGTGGTCTTACAAAAATTCTGCATAGATCGATTAATGTACTTCTCTCGGATGAATAATGCCTTCACCACACACTTTGCAGCATCGACCAAGTCAGTGAAGGGCACCTGGAAAGATAGCAATGGACAATTAAAAATTGTGTGAAAGGAATTTAACTTATTGGAGTTTAAGTTTAAATGCTGATAAAAACATTAAAAATCTAATTAAAAAAAGCTCCTTACCCCGCATTTTTCCTCTCCAGATATTGAGACCCGCTGGTACTCTTTCTCCAGAGGCAATTGTCTCTCCCTAAAGCCATCATCAACAATGTCCACACTCTTCTCCTTCATCAACCTTAAAGGATACAGACAGAGAAAAGGAGAGTTTAAAAGGAGAGAAAGATTGGCAGAGGAGGACGGGTAAGGACACAGTAAGATGGAAAATGTGGATATAAGCAGGAAGTGTGGCAGAAAGGTAAATGAGAATCCAGATGTTATTGGTTATATGAGTTGTAATGGCAGCATCAGAAAAAATCAGTAACATAATTATTATATAACAGCAACCTGCATGTCTCTCTACAGGATTTCAGTGAGGTATTGAGGTCTTAGTGAGATTAACTTCTTACATCACAATGATGAAGCCCATTGTGTTCCTGCAAACTTTACATTCTTTGCAAAAAAGGTCTGTATCCTTTTCAAGATGCATGTCTTTAATGTAGTTGGACCTCAGAAGTCTACAAATAATTCCTTAGACTTCACAGCTTGTTTTGGCATATAGAAACACAGTGACACACACTGGGAAAACTTTGGAACTGTACCTCTGAAAGATGACTGAATGTCTTCTCTGTGAAAGTTCTGTAAATATCTCAGGAATAATTTAAGGAGGATGCATCGAATCTCAATTGGAAATGTCATTGCAAAGTCTCTGGTAACATATGCAGGTGAGGTATTTCTGTATGTTTGTACATTTGCAATCATCTCTGAACAATGTTCACTTTGTGTATGAATACTTTAAGCCCACTCTATATATAGGGCAACAGCTTGTAAGATGACAATATAACTACATTCTAAACTTCAGTAGTTTAGCTACAGAGCTGCCCAATGACTGTAAGAATTTCTTGGGGTTCAAGTTTCATTACTAAGAAAACAGAATAATATGCAAATGCAAAAACACTCACAGACTTCAGACTCAGACTTAAGAGACGGGTTGTTTAAAAAGCAAAAAAACAAGGTATCCATTTTGTACATTTACATGTCACCAGCAGGGGGAAGATGTGGTCCATCTCAATATGCTGATAATCTCTGTCAGTGGTCCTGGAGAAAAGTGCTTACTTAAACTTAGACACTTATCACTACAATATTTCTAGGTACAGTAAAAACAAGTAAAACAGAGATAAATTGAAAGAAAAAAATAGTCACAAAACATACATACTGAAGCAAATCTCACTCACTCAAGGTCTGGAGCACTGTCGATTTTCATGAAGTCCTGTTTGGCGCGGAGCAAGATCTCTGGCTCAAGCCTTGGGGGTGATATGCAGCGGTGCAGGATAAGTGTGGGCAAGGCAGGGGGCAGATGGCATCAGAGGTAGTGAGAAAAAATTAAGCACACAGAAGGGAGAGAGACCAAATATATGCACCAGCACACACTTAAACAAGCACTCTCTCTCTAGCACACATACATTCATATACACACAAAGCATATTAGGTATTAAGTGATCAAGGAGAATGACACAAATAGAAAAATATCTTCAGTTAGTAGTGGTACACCCTGATTGGTAAACAGGCTTGCGGAGGTTGTGTCAGATAACCACCCAAATGATCGGCTTAGTGGTGCAGATAGCGTCAGCACTGGCAACTGAGACAGAACCCCTATAAAAGTTGTGTAGAAGAAGACTGAACACCAGGACAGGTGCCAACTGCTGGTTAGCCCACAAATTGGCATGTTGGAAGCTGATAAGCATGTGTGCATGGGTGAAAGCAAGAAGTCTGCTAAAAGGTGGGGGCTGGGGGAGAGCTATATGCGTCTGAGGTACTTAAAAGAGTTCATTTAACTGGCTTTGTGTGTCTGCTGTGTTTGTATTTCCTCACTTAATGTCCTGGCTGATTTGTCTCTCTAGGCGGTGCCGTCGCTCTTCCAGCTGTTCGATGGGGCTGTCCTCCGGGAACTCATAAGGAGCAGTTCGCATCTCGCTCTCTGCCATGCTGCGTGTGAACAGCTCCTGGTGCAAACATAAGTTATTCCATTTATGGTGTCATAAAACAGGCAAACAGGCCCATTTCAATGTACCTATGTATATATGGCAGACTCTGAGGCTCACAAAGAACCACCTGTTACATTTTCCTTCAAATAAAGCCAGAACATGCCAAAGTGCTGTGATTTAAAATAAGGTAACTTTGATGAACGTGTGACATAGTTTCTAATGTTTTTGCACACGTTTAAGGCATTATTGTTGATTTTCAACATTCATTCAGTCAATAAACAAAACAAATCTTGTGTTTAACTTATTGGAAGCTGAAATTATTCTTCAGGCAAAAGCCACAGAGACAACATGGTTGACTATTAGAGATTCAAAGATTTTAAAACTTCCAAACATGTCTTTTCATAACTACCAAATTCAAACAAACAAATGCCAGTAACAGCTGATTAAAATATCTGTGGACAACTGGTGCATGGGTGCTAATCAATAGTTGTTATAATTAAAGATTATTTTGATTAGCTGTCTAATGTTTCTGTGAGTTTATTCGGCGCAGCAACATTATCTGTCTGGCTTTGAATTTTTACCTCAGCAATCTCTTTGTATTTTTCCTCCATGGATGTCCGCAGGTCGATTGGGTAGTGTGTGATAGAAACGGGCGTCCCTGGAAGGGATCTCTGAGGCTTGAGGGGCTTGGGTCCGGATGCACCACACAGGTCTGTAGGCAGACACAGACAGTATCAAAATATGTGCCAGAAACACATGGTCTCACAATATCACTTCAAAATCAGAGTCTTTACTTTTAGGTCCTGTTAGGCAGAGGTTAAAATTAATAAATAACAAACTGCAAAAACACATTAATGCCAACATCTACACATCCAAAACATAAAGCAGCCATAAACCAGCAAAAGGCTGAAAAGTGTCTGTATTTAAGGCAGAGGTCTGCCTCGTAGTCATTTAACCTAGTTTTAACTTTTTAGAACCGCCCGGAAAAAAATGTAATGTAACACAACTGTCTTCTGTAGAAAGTACCTTGCGTAGTAAGTACTTAACTTCTCATCCTCTTAAGTGTTGCATAGGAAAGATAACAATGTCTGTTTTCTGCAAAGTATCTTGTCAACTTATACTAAACTATATTTTCTTTTACATCACAAAAATATAAATGTCAGTAAAGTGACAGTACCTCCAGTTGACCAACGCATTCTAGAAATCTTTCCACTACTGTTTGAAGCATTGTATCCTTGGAAAACAGTTGTTGAATTTTACTAATGTGGGACAAGTTTTTGTATTTGGTCCAGTACTGAGTGAGAGTAAAAGTGAGCCAGTCAGTGGCAACAACAAGTGCTTTTAATGGATATCATTTTACGGTGCCCAATTGCCTGCAAGGATTACACTGTAGCCCGTTTCATGGCGGCAGGCTTCAGTGCTTTCTCTCAATAGTGGATCAAATTCGAAACTTGTTGTCTCCATTATTCACTTCGACAAAAAAACATGGGAAAATAAGATCCAAGCTGAAAAACACCTAAGTTACCCTTTAAGTACAGGCTAACAAAATACTATGTGTTGATTGTGTTTATGGAAAGAATTGCTGGATTGATAAATGCCTTAAAGGTAGTAAATAAAGATAGTTTACAATGTAAATGTTTAGCATTTGTAAATGTTTAGCATTTAGCATTTAACAGCTCTGACAGTAAAGGATTTACGAGCCATAAGATCTTTCTCCAAACAAACCAACACACATATAACATGGCTTCTTTACTGCATACAAAATCATGTGCATTGTGTAGTAAAACTCGTGGGTTCAGATACACATAGACCATCTGGGTGCTTTACACGCTTACGGCTAATTCAATAGTGATGATGTCACTCACTCTACAATTATTCATTATTTCACAGTCTGCTGAAAACAGAGAAAGGCAAATATGTGAAAACAAACAACACTTAATAGTACCATCACAGACAAAAAACAGAAAAGAATTTGCATTTGGTTTATTTCTATATATATTTAAATTACAACGTGTGTTGGTTTGAGTTCAGAAAACTATGATTTTAAAAATCTTTTAAGAATCAATCTTTAAAACAAATATACATAATATACACATTCATTTAGCTGAAAACTACTACTAGATTTTGGACAAACCACAAATACAAACAACTGCTCCACTTTCTGAATTTTGAAAATCAGTCAACTAAAAACTAAACATAACGTAACTGGTCTCAAGATAGAGAAATCTTTGATTTCCTTCGTTCACCTACAGGATAATATTCAGTTTTGTCTTGCATCTACACTGACGACATGAAACAAAAACACATGAGTTGCAAATACTAAACAGTCAGTCAGAAGTTGAACAAATGTGCATAATCATGATTACCTATGAAGCTGGGCTGCAGTGGCTTTAATTTGTGACAGAGCACAAAAACACCTTTTAATATGTCCAAGAACAGAAGCCAGCTTAGGGAAAGACAGCTGTACCAGCAGATACTGTGTCACTTCAGTCACACATGGGCATGCACACACACTAGAAAAAGAATTACCCTAACTCACATGTACACACTGACTCGTGCATACACACACCTGAGAATGACACAGAGGGGCCTTCCCCACTCAAGACCTGCTGGAAACAGATGACACCAGCTCCACTCCAAAATAAACACAATAGAGAACCACCGGAAGAAAAGAATTCATTTGTCTGAAGTACCGGAGGAACATCAGATTTACTGATTCTTGAGTACTTTCTAAAGACCGCCATGTATTTAAGTTGAAGAGAACCGTAATTTAAAGAGTACCATTGTTATGTGCACACACAGTAATTCACTCACTCATAATGAGTCTATAGCTTTGGGAGTGGTGTGTTCACTTTCCTCTGTAATTGTTGCCATTATTGGTGCTGTGGCCTGTGACAATTAGTCTCTGCCATCTGCTGTCTGCCTTTAAGGCCGTGCAGTTAGGAATGAGCAGAGAGTAACTCTCCGTAGTATACTAATACTGGCATAACACTATAACCCATTTCAATACTGCATAATATAGAAGTTGTGCCATGATCTGCTGATAATCACATACTCAAGGACAGAAAAAGCTTATTTTTAATACACATATAGTTATAGCCTGACCAATACTCGATTATTGGGACAGATATTTATAAATGAGAGTTTTAAAAATGCCTCACATAAACACATTTTAGATAAGGACTCACAATATGTACTGAGAGGACCATTTTACAATCGAATCTGCCTCACTAGTTTACCAGATCATATACACGTCTTGTGTGGATAGAAGGACAAACAGACGACTTCAAGTATATAGGCGCACACACACAAACAAAGTCGTCCCCAGTATAGTATCCATGTAATCCCCTGGTCTTTCCACCACAGATGACTCTTAATCCAGCACCCCCAACTCTATTTATCTCAGTGACATCATGGTAGTAGGGGAGCACAAACCTTCTACACGTCTGTACAAGTACACAACAAAACTGGGAGAAACTCAGCAGACTACAAAGTTTAAAAAAATATAAATAAAGCAGAAGAATGAACCTTTGTCACCTGACATGCAACAAAAACACAGCCAAGAACCAACCATCAAGACAACAACAGCGACCCTTACAAGTTCATCATGGGCAACTTCCAAGAAAGACTTTAGTCATAAAGGCCTGATTCATGATTCATTTAGTTAGTGGTTAAATAAAAAGCTAAATAGCAACGAGACTTATAAATGAAAACAACCCTGTTGATTTGTCTCGACAATTTTTTGAACAATAAAGATAAATGTCTCTGATGTCTGAGCCATGATGAAGTCCGACCATAGAAAGCACATTAGGCTGCAGACTGTGAGCTTGTGTTTGAGTTCAATTAAATTAAATCTGTGCGATTCACTTGTGAAAGAGAGTGAGGATCAACATGGGACAATCTAATCTCCTTCTTTTGGTAGTATTTCTGTGAAGCCTTGACATAAACACTTTTGTTTGTTTTGCTTCAAAGATCCAGATTGCAGTACACATGCTGGCCAAGAAATTTAGCCTCCTCACCTCAAACACGCAGTTTACTGTGCGGGTTGTCTTTACCCTTTTTAGAGTGAAATGCCCTTCTATCATCGTGTAGCAATTGAGAGTTAATTTCTGAGCCCAGTGAGTAATACTGACAAAGCTATCCATCTCAGCTTTCTCTCACATCCCTGGGACCTGAGTCTGTACACCACCCACATACACTACCCACCTGTTCTTTGAACCCTACCACAGAGACATCTAGAATCTGTGGAGCTGCCTGTTCTCTATAAGGATCAATACAATCCCTCCAGTCTGTCTCATCCTCCCTGTCCCTGGGGCCAAAAGTAACGGCAGACTAGTTTTGGGTGTGTCATTGTAGTTCAAATACTGACCGAGTCAAACAAAACATTGTACAGTATGTCCATGAAAATATTATAACCAGAACAATCTATTTCAATTTGCCAACTTTTATTTTCCCAACCTTAATCCTTAATGAACCCCTTATTTTATCACTAAACCCAGACTGACATATTTTATGGATATTTGTTATGATATTCAGTGCACAATAATAAAAGTACTGAACTGATAAACTTTACAATTAACCCCAAAACTGAAAAGCAATAACCACAGGAAGTTTGTGTAAAACGAGCAATCTGGATTAACATCAGAGATAAGTTTTCCTGATATTTTTAGGACCTTTTTATACAATTCTATGTCTGTATTATGTTTTTTTTTTTTTAACAACCATAATAGGCTTCTTTTTTTTTTTGACAAACTCAGTGTTTTCTTCTCATTCTTTTATAAGGACTTTGGTTGTTTTAACTGCGTACTTTTCTAACGCAGGACCAGGCTGTTTAGCAGAGAATGAAGGCTCTGTGAATATAGCTTGGGTTTTGGGAGCCAGTGTGCTAGAGAATTATTGTAAGTGTGTCAAAGAGACCATTTTCACCACAATAACAACACCCAAGGTAACTGGCATTTCGGACACTACATCTGGCCTTGCACTGCCCCATCTCATCAGGCACAGTGTATTTTAAAGTCAAGGAAATGCTAACCTGTTGTAACGCTCCTTGCTTTATTCTTTGCCCCACCATGACACTACAGCGACTATCATGTTATGGACAATTCAACCAATTCATGTCTCAAAGAAATAATGAGACGAATATTTAATATGTAACTTCACAATTACAGTGTACAATTCTCTTTGGTCACTGTTATCTGACAACAAGCTTTCAAGAGTTTCAGTATGGTTTACAAAAGATAATTGATGGTTCTCCTTTTCACTTTTCTCTAAGTCTAAAAGGTACAACCATTAAGGGGTTCAGTTTTTCTTGGCTCCATGCAAAACTGCCAAGGAGTGAACTCCTACAGGCAGGTGTCAGTGCAAGCAAACAGTGCTTCTTTCTCCACTCCTTTCTTGTTTACCTGTTTTTGAAATTAGATACACCCTGGCATAAGTCCAGGAATTCACAGGTGTGTTTAGCATCGTGCGCCTTGCAGCAAACTGGCCACGTCTGTCTTTGTTCTTACTTGATGGTGAACACGCCAGTCTCTTTTGAATTATGCATGAAGTTAGACCGCATCCATAGTAGTATCAGACTTTTTAATGAAATGACCAGTGTGTAGGATTTAGTGGCACCTAGTGGTGAACTTGCAGATTGTAATTAATTAACTGTAAGTAGAACACAATGGTTTAACATGGCGGGCTCCACAGAAGACGACCCACAGCATTTGT